CCATTCGGAAGTTTTCTTTTTTTAAGACGCCGGGACCTGACGGAAAGCCGACGGAACACACCGAGACCAGGAAGAGCCGAAGACCTGCGCGTCCCGGCGCACCTGGCGGAATCCACGCAAGACCCAGGACCCCCTGCAAACGCCTCCCCGGTCCCCTCGCGGGTCGGCTTCCTCCGAGCGCTGAAAGGGCTTTCAAAATACTAAATGAAGTGGGCATCTTTTTTCCAAATTAAGAAAGTAACAATAACCACCATCTGAAAATGGCAAGAATGTACAGAGAAGAAAGTCTGGAAGCCGAATTCCGCTCATCTCCCAGGCCCGCCCCACGGACCCCCACCTTAGGCCTCCCAGGGGGCGGGGCGTGCCCACGGACACCACCCGGCTGGGGCCACTCAGGGAATGTTTAGATGTAAAAGTAGAGCCCCATGAATCTCTGTTAGAGGCCTTTGTAGAAGGAATTGGCAGTGGTGTCTACAGAGGTGCCCGTTCAGATCTGCTGCTGCAAGAACCTGCTTCTGGAAGCACAGCTCATTAACAGGCCCCAGCTGCAACTTTTGGCGCCACCTGTGTTCACTCTGAGCCACACTCTTCCCAGGCTGCTTCCCATTAATGATGGCCCATGATGGGCTTATTAGAAACAGGCCAAGTTTACCCCAAATGGGATTCTTCCCACCAGCGACCTTTGCTCAGGGACTCTCCGCCGGCCTGGCCGACGCAGTCTGAGGCTTGGGACCAAGCTTCCTTCCTTTCCTCTCTCCTTCACAGGGGTTCAGTCTGCATGCTGTCCCTCTCTCCTCCTGTTCGTGTCCCTTTATCCTTTACATGAGTTCCCACCGATAAATCTCCTGAACATCTAATCCCCTCTTAGCTTCTGCTTCTTGGAGGACCTGGACTGTTGACACAGTGACTCTCCCCTTCACCACTGCTACTGACCCTCCGAAACATAGGGCTCAGCCTCTGTGTCCCCAGAATGGGGCACAGCACCTGGTCCGCAGTAACTGAATTGGTAGAGTGGAAGGCAAGAGGTGGAATGGGGCCCCGTGGCCTTGGCAACTGGTCATCCTTGCCTCGTGGGAGAGGGGGTGGCACACATGGTGAGCAAAGTTCACTGAACAGCAGGACAAAGACTGCCACGGGCCAAGGGAGGGACTGCCTTGGGGGAGACCAGCTGCATCCTCAGTGGGACCTACGTTGACCAGTGGGGAAGGATTCAGACCCCCTACTTAGACCATGTAACCTGGATCTCGGCAACAAGGCCTCGTGGCCCGTTTCTAATCCCATGATCTCTCCAGCAACCTCCACAAGCACTTCTCTGAACCTCCCTTGCCCTGCCCACTGGTCCAGACATAGAGGCTGCTGGGGATGCCACTGGGATTAAGTCAGAGAAGGTTTTCTGAAGGCAAGTTGTTAGCAAAGATTTGAAAGCTGTGGACAAGGATAGAGAGAGAAGGTAGGATACAGAAGAACACAGAAGTGCCACTTGTTTGGCACAGAGAGGCTCTCAAGGGAGAATCAGGAATGACAGCAGAAGGAGTGTGGGTGGCTCAGCGGGTGGGTGTTCATTGAGGAAACACCAATAAATACCGACATAGTGGATAGAGGGGTTTACATTTGAGCTGACAGATACTAGCAAGCCTGTGGGTTCCAGGACAAGAGATTGTCATGATGAATTTGACATTTCAGCACGTGGTTTTGGCTTCTCTGTAGAGGTTGGTGCAGATGAATGAAGGAACCAGAAAGCTCTGTGCTCATTCAAGTTGGGAGAGAGGAAGGTCAAAGTGAATGGGCAGAACCGGCTCTGCCCTGAGGAACTGGTCAATAATAACTACCCTGATGGCTTGTCTCTGCCACACTGAAGGCCTCTGGTGAAGCAGGGGGTCCCTCGGGGGTGAGGACGACGGAGCCCCAACGCGCTAGGGCGTCTGCATGCACGACTCCGGGGACCAGGTTCATTGACGCAGATCATTTTATTGTGGAACTACAGGGGTATATATAGCATGAGGGGACCAATCAGAGGGAGACACGTTGCTATAGGCGACCAATCAGAGGGAGACACGTTGCTATAGGCGACCAATCAGAGGGAGACACATTGCTATAGGCGACCAATGGCTGAAAGGCTGGGGTACTATGCACGTGGCTCTAGGAGTTAGTTCAGGCGGGCATTGCTACTTCGTGGTGTGCCGAGGAAGCATGTCATGGTGGAGTGTGCTCACACCATTGCATCAGCCGCAGCGCTGAGACATACTTCCCGAGCTCTACTACATCTCCCCCTTCCTTTCTAATTAGCGCCAAAGCAAAGGAGTTATCACTACTCAGAAGGAGATAGAAGGGTGGCCCTATAGACGGGTAAAGGGAGTAGCAGAGGCACGTGCCACTGGAAACTGGGAACACCAACTGGCATGAGAACGCCAGGGTGAGGTATCACAGCCCACAGTCCTTATCTGTGTGCCCCCGTGCTATTAGCGGTGATGATAGCACACATTAATAAGAATAACGTTCCTGCCAACGGGTTCCCCTCTGGCGCCATGCGCGCGGCTTGGTCTTGTAGAGCCTTGATGTCACCCCAGGTGATGGGGTGAGCTCGTCGGTGTCTAGGTCGTCTCCGTCGTCGGGGCTGGTTCTCTTCTATGGTCAGGTCCTCCATTTCCTCCACGGGGGGCGATGGTGGTGATCTACGGCTCATCGTTGATGGTGTAGGGTTTGACGTCACGAGCAGGGATCCACGCGGGACTTTTGTCGCCTTCTGGAAAAATACAAGCAAACCCTCTCCCCTGGGTTAAGAGCGGGTCGGGGCCTTTCCAGGCTCCAGTGAGTGGGTCTCTCCACCGGACCAAAGGAAGAGGTGTTGGTATGTCCTGGAGTCCTCCCCAATGTTTATACATAGGGGTTAATCCATGCTCATCAAAATGAAAATAATTGAGGGTAGTTAAGGCTTGGGTTAGCAGTGTATGAGGATTTCTCCCTATCACTCCCCCTTTTTCTTTAATCAGTTGGGCCTTGAGTTCCCTGTGTAGTCTTTCAATAATTGCCTGTCCCTGGGGGTTATAGGGGATGCCATGGTATGCTTGATGTCGTGTGATTTTAAGAAGTCTTGAAATAGGGTGCTGGTATAGCATGGTCCATTGTCTGTTTTTACCTCCCACGGGAATCCAAGGATGAGAAAGGCAGCCTTGAAGGTGGCAATGCTATGTTTGGCTTTTTCCCCCGTTTGGGCCTGTGCGAACGTAGCTCCTGAGCAAGTATCTATGACTGTGTGGACATATTTCAATTTTCCAAATGCTGGGACATGCGTGACATCTGCTTGCCATATGGCATTGGGCTGTAGTCCTCGGGGATTGGCCCCTCTGGGTTGTAAAGGCCCGAGGGGTAGTAGAGGGCCGCAGGATCGGCAAGCACGTATGAGGTGCTTGCACTGAGCCAGAGGCAGATGGGGGAAGAGCTTATGGAGAGAGGAGGCTGACATATGAAATTTGGTGTGTAGGAGTCTGGCCTCTTCTATGGGTTGTAGGGTAAGAGCTAGCTTGTCCGCTTCTGCGTTGCCTAGGGAGAGTGGGCCTGGTAGGCCAGTATGAGGCCGTAAGTGTTGGCTATACCAGGGCTGTTTACGGTTCTCTAGGATGTCCTTTAGGAGTTGGAGGCTCTGATCTAGCGGGGTATCTTTAGCTCTTAAGGTGGAATACCCTAGATTTTTTGCCGTATGCACCGTGTAAGCACTATCTGAGAATAAGTTGACTGGACTATTTTGACATTAGAGAAGGGCGTATATTATAGCTCTGAGTTCTCCTCCTTGTGCTGAGCCTTGATAAGTATATCTAAGATAAGTGGGGTTGGTAGACGTTTTAGGGGACTTTATTATTGCTGCACAGTAATGCTTCCCCGAGTCAGTGAAGGCACTGGGTGCCCTTTGAGGGAGCCGTTGACAGTTGGAGGTGGAGTGCAGGAGCTGGTGCCCTTTGCAGCAGCTGTTGACAGTTGACGGTGGAATGGAGGAGTTGGCGGTGCCTTTTGCGAATCCTACCGACAGTAACAAAACCATGATGGTTTGGGAGCTGAGCCCAGGGTGGAGGGAGGGATGGAGACACGGCTTCCGGGCGACGGGGCCGGAATGTCAGAGAAGGGGGTAACGGTTTTTCCTCGTGGACCTCAGCGGGTCGAATCCTTTTCAAGACCTTCTCCCAAGTGGAGGTGTCCCAAATGGGGGCCTTGATTAACCACAGATTGGACTGTAATAGATACTCCCAATGAGTTTGGAGTTCCTTTTCAGAGACCTTAACTCGCCTGCTTGGCAGTAAGGCGTGGAGCGCGCGCTTGTGGCGCTCTCGCCGAAGGGGGAAAGTTTCCCATTTTACTGTAGAGGGTCGCTCACCCGACCAGCCATTCCGGGGGGCCCCATGTTCGGGCGCCAGATGAAGCAGGGGGTCCCTCCGGGGTGAGGACGACGGAGCCCCAACGCGCTAGGGCGTCTGCATGCACGACTCCGGGGACCAGGCTCATTGACGCAGATCTGTTTTATTGTGGAACTACAGGGGTATATATAGCATGAGGGGACCAATCAGAGGGAGACACGTTGCTATAGGCGACCAATCAGAGGGAGACACGTTGCTATAGGCGACCAATCAGAGGGAGACACATTGCTATAGGCGACCAATGGCTGAAAGGCTGGGGTACTATGCATGTGGCTCTAGGAGTTAGTTCAGGCGGGCGTTGCTACTTCGTGGTGTGCCGAGGAAGCATGTCATGGTGGAGTGTGCTCACACCATTGCATCAGCCGCAGCGCTGAGACATACTTCCCGAGCTCTACTACACTCTGGCTTCATTCAGCTTTCTTCTCACTTGACCTTGACATAAGAAGGCGACCAGAGGAAATGCCCACAGCGGTGAAGCCCAGGACTGGAAGGTGCCAAGGGGAACCTAGCATCTTCCCAGCTCACACAGAGGTTTCTTTCCGATCAGACAGAGAACCACACCACCAACCTCACGAAAAGTACCAGACACCGTGATTTACTCTTACTTTATGAATATTTATTTTTTCTTCTTAAAAATGTACAAAAAATAAAATAACTGTATTTATAGTTTATAGATTCCCCCTCTCCCATTTACAAAACTATTAAGTTACATTTGCCTTTTTTTTTTTTAAAACACAAGAGCAAATTGTCCATCTATCAATCTCCCTTGCTTGTCTTTAAGAAAGGGCTGTTCATAGAATTTGGCACAAACCCTCTGTTTTCGTTGCATTTCATGATTTTAAATAAGAAGGAAAATAAATGTTCACTTCATTCCATGCTTCCTATGCTTGTGGCATGGGACGGGCCTTGGTCTTTTAGGGTCCAATTCCAAGATGACAACTGACTGCATTTTTCTGTTGGTCCCAATTTCCAAACACCTGTACAGTTTAAGCAATTTGGGTCTGTACTTAAAACACTTGTTTCACATGTCCCTCCTTGTACATGGATTTAAAAAAAAAAAAAAAAAAAAGCTTATTTATTTGACTGTGATTAACTTAGGGGACAACAAAAGAAGAGGAGGCAACATTTCCTATTTTTCTGGAGTGTTTTTACTCAGGAAATTTTCCTTGTCAGAGCTCTGCTACCTTCCATAGTGAAGAACAAATCATAGCTAAGCCATGGGCACGCTGAGAACGCAGAGGGAACCTGGTAAACATGAGGGACAGATCGGATGGCAGGTGGCACTCGGCACCATCCTTTGGTGGCACTGACCGCATATTCTTTGTTCTGGCAGTGGCCACCACAATGATTGCTCAGTGACCGGGGACAAAGGCAAAAGCATTTCTGATTTATTCTCTGCCTAGGGCAGGACCAGCAAACATTTTCTCCACAGAGTCCAGAGAGAAGGGTAGGTAGCCTGTGTCAAATTGCCAATATTTTAACATCTTTTCCCTCACCTGGAGTCCTATGCCCTAGTCCAATAGTATTTGCCATTGTGTCCACCAATCATGTTTGAAACCACCCCTAAGGCAAGGAGCATGGGAAGTGCATCGTATATCAGGTATTTCCAACACTGAGTGTGTCCATCTTAGAACAGAGCCCCATCAGGACCCAGGAGGGTCCTGCAGCTGCTAGTCCAGGACTCGACAGTCACAGAGTGGAGAAGGAGGGGACAGACAGGAGCAGAGCTGAACCCAGGATGCGAACCTTTGGCACCATGGGAAGGGTGGGGGATGAGTTGTCCAGAAGACACACAAGAAGGTGCCCCCTTTCTGCCACCCAGAGGTCTTCCTAAGCATGGCACCTGCCCTCCATTCCATTCAAATCCTCTGTAGTGTCAATGAGAAACAGCTGGGCTGGAGGCAGCCTGTCCATCCTGCTAGGGGCCCCACAGGCAGGTGGCTGGGAGGGCAGGGAGCCCTCGGAGAGAAAGATAAGACATCAAAGTGCTTTACAAACAAATCTGGGCCCTTACATAAAACCTGTCCTGGATCTCGGACCTTGGATGGGGGATGTGTCTGGCTACCAAAAAGTTGGTTCTTCCACCCACGCAGGTGAATGCAAACCCCTGGACCACCTACCTGTTCCCTCAAAGAGAGAAGTGGCCCAGGACGGTTCAAGCTTTTGCAATTGTTTAGGGAAGTGTGTTTTCTCGTCATCTCTCAGGACCTGTAGCAGGAGGTGGAGTTCTTCTCTGCAGGCTGGTTTCAGAAGAGCCAGGGCTCTTCGGGCACTTTCCCTCCTTCCCAACCCAGCAGCCAGGAGCAGAGGCAACTGGTCCCTCCCACTCCAGCACTGAGGCCCAGGAGGCCGCCCTGGCCTGTCTGTTCAGACATGAACTGCTGGCACCGCTCTCAGCACTGCAGTCGGGCGTTAAGGGGGCCACTTGAGATGAAGGACATGCTCGTAAACTGCGCGGAATGCACAGTGGCCAGGATCCTCATGACAAGCTCAGGCAGTGCCAGCACCAAAGCTGGAGGAGCTGGGGCCTCAGGCTCTCTGACCTTTCCCACAAGGCAGCTCAGAGGAGACCCAAGCAAAGCACATCACCGTGAGACAGAGGCGGCTCCAGAGTAGGCGTGCCCATGGGAGAGGACGGGGCTCCCTCTGTGGACAGGACTGAGTTTCTGGCCGTGCCCCCTGGAGCTTGTCTTGGCACCCACCATAGTCACCTACACCCTGGAGGCCACCTCCCTAGCCCAGTGTGTCTCCCACACAGCAAAGAGGCAGAAACCTCTTGTAGAAAGCAGTGCCTCCCCTAGGCCAGTGGCAGTAAACATGCCCACATACCACAGGCAAAATATATTATCGCAATATTATAAACACTATGTACATGAGAGCCAGCATGCCTTCTGTGTCACCCACTAAGTACATGGCAGCTGAATGTCTTCCTGCACAAGGCCCGATGGCCACTTGCTGGGGACCCGGGAGGTATCTAGCAAGATGACCTTCCCCGGTCAACCTGAAGGGTTGACCAGCAAGGGGACCTCCACCTCTTACCCCACCTCTGACCAGTGCACCCAGGAGCAGCTCATTTTGTCCAGCCACGCGGGAGAAGTGAAGAGGTGAGACAGATGAGACCAGACCTTCTCAGGCTCTTCGAGATGAATGGGTTGGCGGGGCTGCCCTTGAAGGCTCTTGATGGCGTCATCTGGAGCCAGTGGTGACTTGCAGAGTCCTGGCAGGCCTGGTCCTGGGCTCCAGAAAAAGGTGGGCAATAAATAAGGGTCTGACAGACGCAAGGTCCCTTCCCGAGGGGCTCCGGCCTCAGCTCCAGAGCAGGAGCTGGTGGACGGGCCAGACGCACTGACAAGGAGTGGGGCTGTATGCCTTGCCCCGCCTCCAGCACGGTCGTGTAACAGCAGTTGTGAGATGGGTGAGGTGGGTCTGCGGGTTCCGGGGCTGGGCTCCTCCTTTCCCAGGGAGGAGTGCACGGAGGGGTCCTGCGAGGGCAAGCCAACCAGGCTCAGATCTCCATGAGTGTGATCTTGAAACCTTCCACCATGCTCTCCATGTTGAGGATGAAGGTGTCCTCATTTGAGTAGTGCTCAATGATGTTGTCATCCATGTTCACCAAGATGCTGGGGAGGGGGCGGGGGAGAGACAAAGGTGCCATGAACAATGTGCTCGGGCAAGGATGGACCACAGGCTGGGGGTTCCCTTTGCCATTCTTTTGCAAGGGAGGCCAGGAGGGGTGGAGGAGAGAGGCGACAAAGCAAGGGAAGAACACACGCACTCTACTGTCTTTCTACAGAAACAAGTTGCAGGAAAGCAAAGCCTCAATTTCTCAGAACTAACCTCCTGATTCCTTATTAAACAGGACTTCAGAGATCATTCAACTCAACCCTCTAGATATAGATGGGTAAACTGAGGCCCAGAGGAGTTAACAGAGGCTAAACTCACAGACTTGGTTATTGACATACGGACAGAGCCAGGACCTGAACAGGTAGGTGCCCCATTTTCATGGCCTCTTGAAGTTGTATTGTAAAAAGTACCCTGCACTAGGAGGAAGAGGAAAATAAACCAGAACTGCAGCCAGCCTCCGCTGAGCATGTCCTGTGTTCCAGGGTGACAGAGACCTTGCACTTCATCCTCACAGCGACCTTGCAGGTAGGTGTGATTGGTGCCATTTTGCAAAAGAGAAAACTGAGCTCAGTGAGGTTAAATCACTCCCCAAGTTCATGGCTGAGCAGGGTTTTGAAACTAGCTTTGCCTCCCTCTGAAGTTCATCCTTTACCCCATGTGACCTACTCCTTGGTTAACGATCCCCAGTGGATTTAGTTGTAAGAAAGTCAATGACTTTCAGGGTCTGTCCATGACTTCGAAGTTCTGGAGTCAATCCCCTCCATCGAAGTCAAACAGATCGTACTCTGAGAATGAAAAACTGACTATCGTTTTACAGCCATGTGTCATCAGGCAAGTTGTTTAGACTTTCAGAGCTTCAGTTTATTCTTCTGCAAGAATAAGAATAACAACCCTGCTTTAAAGGCTTGTTGTTAGGATTAAAGTGTTTAGCCCAGGGCCTGGCGCAGTGCTCAATGAAAGTGAAATGTTATCATCATCGGCAGGGACTTCGCGCTGAGGGTTTGTGCTCAGCAGCGAGATCTCGAGACACCACTCATCTCACGATCAGGGGTAAACCCAGACTATGGCGTTGACCTTGGGAAGAATTGCAAAACGCATTTTAGTGAGCTTCCAGCAAAGGCTCAAGTGGAAAGTGTTTCTTGCTTGACTCCCCATCAACCAAGAGACCTCATGACTGAGAAAGGCTGAGCGACCCAGATGATCAGTTTCCTTTATGACAGTCCCGGAGAAAAGCTTCAAGACCCATCTTCTGCTTTTCATAGGAAAATGGCCCCAGAAGCTGCCTTCATAAAGACCCTCTGGCTCTAGACTCAGCTCCTGCAGCCTCTACTCTTAGAGCCTCAGAGGAAGCCCCAGGGGCCTGGAGGTGGCAGAGAGCAGAATGAGCAGCTAAGCACTTGAGCTCTGGGGCCACAGGCCTGGGTTCAAACCTGTGTCCCACCTGCTGACCATGAGCCCTCAGGCAAGAGGCTGAACCTCCATGCGGCTCACTTTCCTCATCAGTAAAGGAGGGGTAAGAGTCTCTCTGACAGAGTGGGGAGGAACAGAGCAGCGCATAGCAAACAGGGGACCCAGAACCCACCGAACACCCACTAATGAGAGCTGCTGTCCTTAACACTGAGAACAAGCAGGTCCAGCGATCATTTAGAGCATTTTGCTAATAGTCACTTGGGAAGAAGGAATTCTTTCTGTTCCCGCTGTGTAGCCTGGAAGCCAGCTCCAAGAGCAGCATGGGATTCACTAAACACTCCACTCTACAGAGGGGTGACATGGCCACTCTCCCACTTCTAGACCCCTCTATTCCACCCACTAATCCTGTCACCGGGATGACAATGCCCCCCCCCCCCCCCCCATTAAAGGGCCTTGAAATGCACTGCACTTGGAAGAATGACACACAATTTTATAAAAGGTGGACAACGGAACCTAGCAAAAGAGAGGCACCATCTTTTTTTTAAGGCACTATGTTGACTTATCTGATTTGAAAGTTAATTTAAGTTCAATTTTTTTCTTACCCTTTTTTGCTTTTCTTGTAAAGCTTTGTTATCTTCTCTACGGGCAGCCCGTATTTCTCGGATATCTGTAACACCAACGACAAAAAGGCAGGTGAGCAGAGGGAAGTCCAAGCAGAAGCACGAGAGGAGTTCTGACTTAATTCTCCTGGAGGTTTTCTGGGGAGCCAGTGCCCTTCACTCACGAGTCAAACTCTCAAAACACCTCATTTGCAAGGCTTACTTCTCCCTTTGGACAAACCTTCCATCATTCACCAACATTTCCAGCCTCATGGGAACGTAATCTATGATAAAGGTGTCATTCCAGATTAGTCAGGAAAGGTGGACCCTTATCATGATGTGAATTAAGTAGGCGCCATATAGGAAAAACTTAACAAGTTAAACTGGATCTCTTCTCTCAGTCCTACATCAAAATAATCTGATCCAAGGTTTCCATACAAGAAGATGAAACCATACAAGAAGAAACCAATGGGTCAATTCTTTGTATGGATATCATCTTCAAGTAAGGAAGATCTTTCCAAGCAAGATATGAAACCTGAAGAAAAAAAGATCAAAGGTTGATAAAACAACACAGAATTAAAAGTACTGATATAGCAAAAGCCACCATAAAAAGCTGAGGCCAAATAATACACCGGGAAACATTTTGGCAGCACGAATGACAGATATGGAACTAATTTCCTTAAGTTAGAAAGAATCCCTGCAAATCAAAACAAATACAAAAAAAATCTGACAATTCAAGGGAAAAGGAAAACAACAACATGAAGCAGTAATTCGCAGAAAAAAAGACAATAGGACAATAGGCATATGAAAAAAACGAACCATCTCATACATAATTTAAAAGTTCAAATTAAAGCAACAAAATACTACTTTTAATCCACCAGACTAACAAAAGCTAAAAAAACAAACAAACTTAGAATACAGTGTCAGAGTATGAGAGACAGCAACTCTTATGTTCTATAGATGGGAGAGCGACAAGCTCAGTCGTTTAGGAGGGAGATTTGGCACATGTTGTTGAAATTAAAAATCCATATCTCCTTTGACCCACATATTTCACATCTAGTCGTCTGGTCTACAGAAATACACTCAGATGTATGCAAAGCTCTTCAAAGAATCACTTTTCATAATACAGACACTGTGGATCATAAACATCCATTAAGCACATTTTGATATTTTCACAGTTGAAAACCAGGCATTCATTAGGTTGTTAAAAAAAAAATTGAGACGCATATACTAACATAGTACTAACATACTAAGTCTTAACCAAAAGAGGTCATATTTGTATTTTGGATTACACTATCACAGCTAGCAAGACACTTCCTAATTGCCCTAACCCAGTGGTCGGCAAACTCATTTGTCAACAGAGTCAAATATCAACAGTACAACGATTGAAATTTCTTTTTAGAGCCAAATTTTTTAAACTTAAACTATACAGGTAGGTACATTGTTATTAACTTAATTAGGGTACTCCTAAGACTTAGGAAGAGCCACACTCAAGGGGCCAAAGAGCCGCATGTGGCTCGCGAGCCTCAATTTGCTGACCACGGCCCTAACCGGTTTGGCTCAGCGGATAGAGTGTCAGCCTGCGGACTCAAGGGTTCCAGGTTCGATTCCGGTCAAGGGCATGTGCCTTGGTTGTGGGCACATCCCCAGTAGGGAGTGTGCGGGAGGCAGCTGATCGATGTTTCTCTCTCATCAATGTTTCGAACTCTCTATCCCTCTCCCTTCCTCTCTGTAAAAAATCAACAAAATATATTTTTTTAAAAAGACACTTCCTAATTGTTCCTGTTCTGTGCATATTTGGAAGTTAAACATATCTAATTCGGTGTAATGCAAAGAGTCAAATGGAAACTCACAGTTTAAAAAAAAACAAGAGAGGCACTCACAGTCTAACCTTTCTCCATGACCTCTTACTCTGATCAGCCTTAAACTGACAGGGAATTGGCAGTTTTTCAACGTTTCCTTCTCTTAAAGTGCTAAGAAGCCCTGACAGTATGGAAACCAGTGTCTCCATAAATCTCCGCTTTTTCTTCTTCTTTGTAAAGCTCACTCCAGAGCCATCTCAAGGCTGCATTTTAATGAAGGGATTCCAGCTCAGGAGAACACAAGCAGGTTTCCTGGGAGCAGTTGGGGTGGGGGTGGGGGGGCGGGGGGGACGGGGGGAGGAGGTTCATGGCTTACCGCTTCCATCAGGCCCTTCACGGTGGGAGATTTCAACATCAAGGCATCGAACACATCATCAGTCTCCTTCCTCACGTACAAAAGCACTGGAAGAGCAAGGGAGGAAAGGGTTAATGAGGAGCCCACACAACCCCTGCAGCCACCACAGGAGACTGCTTCCTGTCACTCAGGCCTGGGACCCTGATGTTATCTACCCTCCGGCCCCTGAGCCACACCCGGGTGAGGAGGCAGCTCCCTGGGCTACCTGTGGCAGGGACTGTTAGGGAGCAACGCGATGACATTTGGGTACCAACTGGCAATTGGGTACCAACACCCAGCAAGCTGTTTCACACATTGTTCACATGCTGCGAATTTCTCACGGGTGCATACGTGATCTCTTTGGGAGGTCTCTTTCTGAGACCTCTGTCTTCTATTTATTTGTTTGATCGTTCAACAACTATTGCTGAAGTCCCACTGGGGCCCCTGGGGCCCAGACTGTGTGCGAGGAGCTGAGGTCACAGCCATGAGTGGAGACGCAGCCTGCCCTTAAGCTCTCAGTCCACTTGGAAAGGCGGGCATTCCTCAGAAGCAGACAACTAGACAGAGTCCTAGGAGCCATGAAGGAAAAAGACAGGAGAAAGTGCTTACCGGGGCCTGAGCTTTCCAGAAAGTTACCTTGTAGGAGTTCTGAGTTACGAAGGGTGTATAGGCATCAACACAGGCGAGGGGTGGCGGGGTGTGGGGGGGCAGGGAGAGAAAGAGGACATGAGAGCAAACATGAGCACAAACTCCAGCAGACACAGTGACATGTGCCACGGCCCGGGAGGGAGGCGGTGCATTTCAGAAGCAAGTGGGTAAGAGTCCGACAGTCCTGGCTTTGACCCCAGTTCAGCCTGCGGTGGGGCCTGGTCATGTAACCTCTCCAAGCTTTGTGTTTTGTTTTGTTTTCCTGTAAAACAGGGATGATGATAATATCTACCTCATAAGCGTGCCTTGGGGGTTAAGTGAAATGACCGCCACGTGGGACGCTGGGCGCACAGCAAGCACCCATTCCTCAGTGAAGGCTGTTATGGAGCAATCGCCGCGGCTCCCTGCCCTCAGTGAGCGTGAGGGCAGCCTTCTGTTCATTTCTCTGTCGCAAAACCTTCTGAATTCGACAATGCACAGGCAATGAGAGATGACAGGGACCCAGGTGTCATCAAAGAGGCCGAGACCCTTCACCACTGCATCCCTTTCCGACAGCAACTGCACCTGCCATTCAGATGCGGCCCTGCAGCCCCGCAAGCTGACTGCCCTTCCTCAGCCCCAGGGACAGGGCTTCTGGTTCCTGCTTCTGAGAGAAGGGAGAGGCCGAGGCTGAAGCCCAGTGCACCGGCCACTGAGCAGCACGCACAGGAAAACAGCCCTGCTGAGCCTGGGTCCCGACTACAGTCAGATACCCACTGAGCTACGCTCACCGCCAACCCGAAGGCATGAAGTTGGCCTGGAAATGAAATCAGCTCGAACCCAGACTCCCACATCTCTCCCGTCCCCGTCCCCGAGGACTTCACTGCAGAAGCTGCTTCTAAAGGCAGAGTCTACACGTCACATGGGTTCTGCCGGGACGTCCTGCAGCCGGCAGATGGTCAGTTGTGTATGAAAACAAAACAAAACAAACCACCTGATGCACGGCAGCTTCTTGTCTTTGCCCCGGATAGAAGCCAGACGCCAAGTAAAGGGAGTGAATGTGCCTCCAGAGAGTTCCCAGTTCCATCCTTTGGAAGGAATGTTTTATAGCCTCCGTTCCAGCTCAAATGACCTAGTGGCAGACCGTCAAACCTCAGAGGGAAGGCACGGGAGGGTGGGGGTGAGGGGGCGAGATCAACCAAAGGACTTGTATGCATGCAGATAAGCATAACCAATGGACACAAAGACCAGGGGGTGAGGGCATGAGTGGAGGGGGGGAGACAACGGAGGGATAAGAACACATATGTAATATCTTAATCAATAAAGAAAACAAAATAATTAAAATAAAATAAAATACAATACAATAAAATAAAATGATCTAGTGGCATCACAAGAGGACCCAGAGTCAGCAGTACAACAAGGAACAATTAGACCATGGTACCTCAACTACCCCTAGATGAGAAAAATTAAAGGAAAAATAACTAATGAAATAAAACAAAACAGAAACAATAACAGCTCTCACTAGTGGCTGTTCCAGGTGAGCCTTCTGTAGCTTCTTCCCACAGCCTCCAGCAGAAAAATGTAATCTCCAGTCTGAGTCTCAGTAAACCCCAACCATGTTCTATTCAAATGGATTTACAAATCTTCTTTTACAATTATTGTCCTTGAAATCAGATGGCTTGGGGGAGGGTGAAAGGTGGTATAGGGGCATGTTGACCGGCTGCGGGACCCCCTCCAAGGGCAGTGCCCATTCTCCTGCCGGGCTCAGCACGCCCCCGGGTGCCCAGGGAGCTGGCTCTCCTGAACTGTGTGTCCCTGGCAAAGCTCTCTAAGAACCCCTGCTGCCGATGCAATCGCGACCATCGCCCATCTCAGACACTGGCAAAGGCAGCGGCCACAGGAGCAGCCCCCAGGGGCTCCAGACACAGCCACCCTAAGGAGTGGCCAGAAAGGCAGAACAAAAAATGACATTTATGCTCCTTTTCTCTCCCGGAGAACTTCTAACGAATCAACAAAGGAAGTGGATGGCACTGACGCCGATTCCCTGTGCTGGTCAGAGAGGCTCAGACTGGGAGCTCCAGGCGAGGGCTCAGTAGCACCAGCATCCTTTTCCAAAGGAGAGCTGCACCTGGAGAACACTTTCTCCATGGCTGGCAGGTTGCAGCGCCCCCATGTGTCCGTATGATGATGTTTCAAAGGCCAGATACTTGCTTTTCATCATACTAGTAGCCCAATACAATTCAATTCCTAGCAGCACATTTTTGTCCTGACTTCAAAATCTCCTGACTTCAAAATCTCAAAATAATGAGAAGCACTTCTTTGGACTAGCCAGCAGATACTACATATGGATGCAAGCCAGACTAATTGTGCCTGTGTGATTCTTTGATTTCCATCCAGCTCTGTCCTCATTCTAGTGTGAGATAAGAAGGCAGGCAGAATGGAGCTCAACATGCACTCAAACATTTGAGGGTGAGCCTGTGATGTCAGAAAATCTTTTACAGGTTTAAATGTTGCTAATGTAACTAACACCATCCAGACATGTATGATCTTCCACTTGAAATGCTAATTACTTATTCACAATGACAATAAGATAGCTTAAGTAGGGCCAGGCCTAATCATAAAACACAAGTGGATCAGGCACTTGAGTTACGTGTTTTACATACATTCATTCACACAACGGTCCTCACAGCAACTCTATGAAGTAGGTGCTCTTGTCATCCCCATTGTACAGATGAGGACTCTGACGGAGCAGAAGACCGTTCCAAGGTCACACAACTCTACGGGCTGGGGAGGCTACAGTCTGCTCTTGATCACAGTGTAGGTCCCATGTCAACAAATGGGGGGAGGGAGAGAACATTTCTCAACAAAACACTCAAGCCTGTGTGGATGGTGACGTGTGGCTATATTTATCATGGTAATCTGACACATTAGAAGTTGAAGGTCTTTGGAAGCTAACGGAATTAGCTACAGCAAGATATGGGGTGACTGGGCCCCCCCCCCCCCCCACACACACACACTTTCCTCTTATTCTGAGGAAGGACAGTGTGTCTTGAACAGCATCAAATGTTGAGCAAGACATTGACAAGCCTGTGCTTCATTTCTTACTTTCTTTCTTTTTTTTTTTTTTAAAATGTATTTTATTGATTTTTTACAGAGAGAAAGGGAGAGAGATAGAGAGTTAGAAACATTGATGAGAGAGAAACATCGATCAGCTGCCTCCTGCACATCTCCTACTGGGGATGTGCCCGCAACCCAGGTACATGCCCTTGACCGGAATCGAACCTGGGACCTTTCAGTCCGCAGGCCGACGCTCTATCCACTGAGCCAAACCGGTTTCGGCTTCTTACTTTCTTGGTGAAGTCGAATAAGACCCTTGACTGAGAGAAAATGAGTAAATGGTGATGTCACAGAAAACAGGTTCATTTGCTTGTGTGGGATTAATTGTGCCTCTATTGAACAATTCTCATGGCTGGTGCTTCTGCTGTTGTCACACACACAGCAAGCATTTCTTTTTAACCTTATATCTCACTGCATGATGAGTCAGTATGTTCATTACATTTCTTCCGAAGCAAAGGCAAGAACCAGTGCCCAGAAAGAATACACATGTGCTTACAGTGCTTCAAAAGACAGGCTTTAAAGCAAAGAAGACTGTGACCTTCCTGTGTCGGTAACAATCATAACAATCCCAAGGCCCGCACTGAACCATAAGGGTGTGGACGGGGCTATGTGTTCTTGGTCAACCACCCGCTCCCACTCATCATGGGAGGATCGGTCTTTCAGTAATGCCGAAAGGGGAGAGATACCTCGCTTCATCCCTTCTTCTTTTATCTGCTTGGAAGGTGTTGGGCCAAAGTCCTCTTCCATGGGCCTGAACATCCGTTTAACAAGGACACTGCTGCTAGAAAAGATGAGCAGAAAGTATTCAGTAAAGCAGACAGGGTACTAGCACAAAGGTTCATGTGTGGCAGTCCCTATGTTTTCCCTTTGTTTATACCATCCCTAGTTCTCCACAACCTCCTTCTTCCCCCTGCAGGTCCCAAGTCATCCCTGTTTGAGGCAGAACCCCCTCACCCCCACTATCTTTAGGACATGGATCAAAGACATACTTCTCATTATTGAATAAGGATCTACAAAGGTGAGACCTCTGGGTTTCACTCACTCTGTCCTGCACTGAACCCCTGCTCAGATCAGGGCTGGGGAGTAGTAGGAGTGAGTCCTGGTGAACACTTATTCTTGTGGCCTCCAAGTTACACCAGCCCCCTCTGAACTAGCTAGGGCCTGGGAGTCCTACACTGTCCTGCCAGCCCCCTGCGGGCACAGAGGGACCTGTGGAAATGGTGCAGGCCTACCTCACTGGTTCTCAGTTATAAGGTTGCCCTCACTTCCTGCTGTTCTATGCCTCCATCTGGTTGGAGCCAATGAGCCTGCAGTGATGGAAGTTCCCTAGAGACCCAGACCTCAGCTGCCCAGCTCTTCCTCCCCCTTGCGAGAGGGTTTCAGTCCCCCTTCCTGAGAGCTCATGGTGTGGTGGCCCTGCATGTCCCCAACTGGGCCAGGTCTGATAGCTCTGCATTTCCTGCCGAAGTTCCTGCTCTTTCTGGGCACTCTAAGGGGGGGGGGGGGGGGGGGCGGTCTGGGAGGAATGCAAATTGGAAAAATAGGCTGTTTGAAGGGAAAGCATTGATGCTATGGACCCTGTGAGCCAGCCAGGGCAAGCACCAAGCTCATCCCTATGTCAGTGACTATCAAACTAATGCTTAGTGTGTTACGTGTCATATGCAGGGTGACGTAGATGATAAGTGAAATGCCGGGAGCCGGTCCATGCTTGCTGTTTCAAGGGACCTGGCATATATGGCATACTGTTCTTAATATGTTTGCTCACCTTCTTGGCACTATGTGTTTTAACCAAGGTCTCTGAGAAAGGTTGTTTCCCCAGGTAGGGATTTTCCCCTGAAGTTAGGGAGGGAATAAAACCTCTTAACTAAGTGCCAGGCGGGTAATTAATCACTTTAACTATGAACAATCATGCTTAAGCTACATAATCTTTACTCCCTGGAATGGAGATAAGAAACGCCCTAACCTTTGGAATAGAGATTGATAGGATTGGAATCAACTGGTATAAATACAGATGTAAGAAGACAGAACTTAGAACACAGAACTTAGATTGAGAGAACATGGCAAAAGATCCTGGACTGAACCTGACTATAGAAATTGGCAAGAGAACCTGACTAGAACCTGGTGACTGAACCTGGCTGGAGAACCTGGACAGAACCTGGCTGGAGAACCTAGCGAGGGAACATGGCTACAGAACCTGGCTGGAGAACCTAGCAAGAGAACATGGACACAGAACCTGGCTGGAGATCCTAACCAGAACCTCACTGGAGATCCTGATCAGAACGTGGCTAGAGAACCTTGCTATGATGATCATCTGAACGCCCTCTCCGTGTCATTCCTTCTTCACTAACTCCGTCCACACCTTTGGGGACCCCTGGACCCGCTGGGGCTGGACCCTGGCAGTGAAAAGAACTGAACTCACTCCTACTACTCCCCAGCCCTGATCTGAGCAGGGGTTCAGTGCAGGGGTTCAGTGCTGTTCAGAGAACCCAGCTTTGAGGGACAACCTCATGCTAAAGGTACTCATGAAACCGGAGATGATGAGTGAGGGTATAAGAAATGAAATTGAGAGTCAGCATTCTCTTATTGTATTCCCCACTAAGTCAAACTGTGGAAATAGCCAGAAGGAAATCTCAAACCCAAGTCCCAGGTAAAGGTGGTAATGAGTTTTTAGAGCCCTGATCCCTCTGTCTTCCCCTCACTACCTTTTCGTAAAAGTAGGTCATGTCATTCTGTCATGTCTTGGAACCGGATGGCCATGACCTCAGGAGCTGAAGGTTAGAAATCTGTTCGCACAGCTGTCGGTGACCAGGAGGGTAAAAATGGGTAAATAGCCTGAAATGTCACCAGACTGTGAAATATCACTCTGCCATGCTGTGCGAAGGTTCCTAAGCCAGTGATTTTCTTTTTCTCGCCAAGCAAGATTTATTTGTATTTTTCCAGTTCTGCTGACTTTTGATAATGCCCCGATCTGAGCTGTGCGTGACAAACTGCCATTAAAATAACATCTTGGGTCAACCACCTTTCCCCTGGGAGTTAAAAAATGCTTTTTCACACGTTCAAATCTACAAACCCAGTATGGTGTCAATATGTTTGTGTGGTCTGAATTCAACTGTTACATTTATTTTCAAAACAAGGCAAGAAAGGAGGGGCAGATATGACTGCCCCATTTGACAGATGGAAAGAGCATGATGCCTGTCCTATTATACTGGATTGCACCCCTAAAGGACTGGAGAACAAGGAAAAGGTGCTTCCTCTAATAGCAGTCTCCATCCCACTGGCACATGTGTGAGAAGATGTGAGTGACTTCAGGTCACGTGGCACATGAAGCCATTATCTTGAGGGATCAACCTCAGGGGAAGCAAATGCTTGAAGTATAGCCGTTCCCGGTTTGGCTCAGTGGATAGAGTGTTGGCCTGTGGACTGAAGGGTCCCAGGTTCGATTCCGGCCAAGGGCACATGCCCGGGTTGTGGGCTTGATCCCCCCAGTAGGGGGCGTGCAGGAGGCAGCCGATCAATAATTCTCTCTCATCATTGATGTTTCTATCTCTCTTCTTCTCTGAAATCAGTAAAAAAAAAATATATATATATATATCTTTAAAAAAAAATTTTAACTGTTGGAAGTTGCCCTAACCGGTTTGGCTCAGTGGATAGAGCATTGGCCTGCGGACTGAAGGGTCCCAGGTTTGATTCTGGTCAAGGGCATGTACCTTGGTTGTGGGCATATCCCCAGTGGGGAGTGTGCAGGAGGCAGCTGATCGATGTTTCTCTCTCATTGATGTTTCTAACTCTCTATCCCTCTCCCTTCCTCTCTGTAAAAAATCAATAAAATATATTTTTTAAAAAATGCTGGAAGTATAAACAAAGTTTCATCAGAAAAAAAATAAATGGGAAGATGTTCAGGATTGAAGTGTGGGTCTCTGGCTCTGTCGGGGAAAGGCAATGCTGCACCCTGCCTGCTGGGCTGGACCACACGAGGCATTGCTGCGTAGTGAGGAGATGCCCAGTTCAGTGAGGAAAGAAGCTGCAGGCACCACACCTCTCACAACTCGGCTTGCGGCCTGTGAGGGCTGATTAGCATGTATGCCCTAAATAAATTCATCTCGATTAATTTATTTCCAACAAAAATTACTCTTTGGGGAAGAACCCATCATCCCATGACTTTTATCAATGGAGGATCCAAGATGGTGGCAGATAGGTAGAAGTTACATTCACCTCTTCCCAGGTCCAAACTGGAATTACAACTAAGTTATAGCACAATCAACCTGAATAACCAACTCTAGACTAGCTGAACAGAGTCTTATAACCAAGGATTCACAGAAGAAGCCACATCGAGACTGATAGGAAGTAAGGGGATGGGAAAAGGGCTAACCCCATACCCATGGGCTGTGGCTGAGAATCAGGAGGGATATCTCAGCCTGAGGAGACTGAGGTGTGAACCCCATACTGGGCTCCCCAGCCTAGAGCACCCCAGAGCAGGGAAGAGGAGCCCACATAACATATGGCTATAAAAACCAGTGGAAATTCTGTTTCCCAGGGAGAGGCAGGAGTCTGCTAGAAACTCAAGTGCCCTCTAAAAGGGCCAGTGCACAAAATCTCATTTGGGGCCACTCTGGCAGAGAGAGGGCAGGTGGGAGCAGACTGGAGTCGTGTGAAGACAGTCTGGGTTGTGTGGCTCTGGGAATAAAGTTTAATGAAAAACACAATTTTAAGTCTAGCTGGCATGGTTCAATGGTTGAGCATTAAACTATGAATTAGGAGGTCCCGTTTCAATTCCCGGTCAGGGCACATGCTCAGGTTGTGGGCTCGATTCCAAGTGTGGGGTGTGCAGGGGGCAACTGATCAATGATTCTCTCTCAACATGGATGTTTCTATCTCTCCCCCTCTCACTTGCTCTCTGAAATAAAAATATACATATTAAAAAAGAACCCACAATTTTTTAATGGAGGCAATATTGTGGCTGTCACATAATTATTCTAATGTTATGAGAATCAATATTTGTGGCTTGAAATAAAATTTCTGATGATAATTTTATGCATGTGGATTTAAAAAGTGCTATATCTCAACTTTGATGGTAATGAAGAATTGTCCTAATAAACAGAGATGACAAAAAGTAACTCTAGTGATAAGAAAGACACTGGTGTCAAAGATGAATTGTGAATAATCTAAATAGAAATGTTTTAAAAAATGACAGGTGTTTATAAATCATATAATGTTATTCTTTAAATGTATGTGTGATTAAATTAACAAAACAAGTATCAGTAGATCATTGACATTTTGGGCTATATTCACAAAGATTTACCTATTTAAGTTGGCCTAAAAGCTTTAATTTTTATTTTCATCTTCTCCTTGGAAAACTGCCTTATTTGTAATCACCTTATGTATATATAGCAAAACACATGGAAATTTTGGGAGAAGTCAATGAAATAATGCATATAAAGCACTTGGTACAGTGTCTAGCCAAGGTACCTAATGAATGCTATTCCTTTTGCATATAACAAGAGCCAAGAGCCTACAATAGATTATCACTGAGGCTGCCCATATTGCTCAGATGACCTCTAATTAGAAGGTGTGTAAAAGAGACTCGGGCCTTGGGCATTAAGATTATAACAGAGGGTAATTCTTACAGAGGCTAAGCCAAAAGAGTTAGGTCCACTGGCCACCTAAATGCTGCCAACTTGCAAGGAAGGACAATTTAGGCTGAGGTAGGTTAAGCGAGGTGTGCACATGGAGCAGCATTCAGGTCTCAGGCCCTTCTCACTCAGATGCTAAGGTTTCCTGGGAGAATAATAGAATGCTAGTGCTAGACGGGATCTTAGAGATCATCGTATTCTACAAAATCCTCATTTACAATTGAGGGACCCAAAGCTCAGAGGTCAAGGAGCCGACCCCAGGCTTCCATTAGTGAGCTGCAGTCTGGGAGCAGAACACGGACTTCCTAAGCGCAGAGTCAACGTTCTTTCCATGACGCCACGCTGTCCCTTGTAAAATATGTGAATAACAGATTAGAATTGATAGCGCTAATCACTTCTGTTCATTCTAGCCTCTGGAAATATGTTATCCATGCGCCAAGATAAAAAGAACAATTAATTAAGCATTTAGAAAATTTAGAACTCAGAGTTTAGAGGTCAAATTCTAGACAAGGTTCTGCTTCTAACCAGCTGGGGAATGTTTGACTCCTTTGAGAGTCGCTATCCTTCAGGACAGAAGGTGGCACCCTTTTTCTGTGAAGGGCAGACTAGTCAGCACTTGGGCTTTCTAGGCTCTCTGGACTTCGCTGCAACCACTGAACTGAGCTGTGGTCCCACCAATGTAGCCATAGATAAGACACAAGGAATTAACATGGCTGTGTTCTAGTGAAATTTTATGTATGGACCTGAATTCCATAGAATTTTCAAGAGTTAGGCAGTATTCTGGATGTTTTCAACCACTTAAAAATGTTTGTGAACAATACGAAAGCAAGTGGTGGGTCCTCAGGCTGTAGCTTGCCCAGCTCTGCTCTGGGAAGTGAGTTCAGCAATATCTGCTATAGTTACTTCACTTGAAATGTTTCAGAAGTATATGTGTTAATGATATAAGAATACGGAAGCCCTGGTTTGACTACAATTTGAAAATAAGTGATCTAGAGATTTTTAGTTATATCCGTGTAGTGCAAACCAAGATCTTATGTACACATGTAGTGTAACGTGGATACTGAAAAATGAATGTAGTTTTAAATGTTTTTAAGAGAAAAATAGCATCCAGATCATATGAAGAACTACAGCCAATGAGCAGAAGTCAAAAGAAGGTAGACATCAGTTCCACAAACTACCTTCTGGAGGGTTGGAGTCACCCAACAGTAATGGTCTACCTCACACACAGTGAGAACATTCAGAATATTTCCATCATTTCTCAAGAATGTGGTATAAGATAGCACATTGCCTAGGAGAGAGAGGGTCAGCTGAATGACCTTGAAGGATCCTTTTTAGCTCTAAAACCCTAGGAGTCCATACAGTGAGTTGTGGATAGCAAGCAGTAGGCAGTCTTGTCGTGCAACAAACACACTGGGAGCCTTGGGTGACCCTATAATCCTAAGGACCGTGAAAAGGCTCTCAGCTTTCCCAGCTCCCACTCCCACCAGCCTCACCCTAGCCTTCCCAGAGTGAGTATGTGCAGGAAGTACTGGCAGGCGACCCAGGTAACACCGAAAGTAGGCAGGCTGGCTCCTTGGCCCTTGCCTCAACTCAGCTTGTTCTTCCACCAAAAATTATTTCAGTAACTGGATTATCGGTAGAAAGGTGGAATCGAGGAGATGTATCATTTAGAAAAATAGCTGGTTATTCAAAGGCAGATCAGAGGAAGGAGAAAAGGGGAGAGATTTAGAAGGAAAATGGTATTCCCCCAGCCTTCCTCTCAGTGCCCAGAAGCAAGCATTTCTCAGCTCTGAGTCTGAAGGTGAGAAGACGGTCCCACCCATGCTCGCAGTTACTGCCTGAAGAGCCATTTCTACTGAAATGAACTGACTCTGGGTGTTTAAGTGAAAGAACTGAGTGTCTTACCCTTCTCGTTCATCATCCGTGTTGTAATACACCTGCGGAACAAAACAATAGGCTTACTGTAGGTCAGAGACAGAAGTGGAAATATATTATGCGATGCAGAGACTTTCCTAAGGCATTACACTGTCTCGTAAAAAAGACAAATCTGTTTAATGATGCTATCTGTGCATGTGTGTGTCAAAGGAAATACAAATTTAACCTCATGTTCTCCATAATGTCAATTCTTATACTTCAATGAGATAAAATTGGAAATGTGGTTATTTCCAGCTAAGGCAGTCTGATCAGGTTACCTATAGCCCTATTGCTTTGGACAATAAGAAAAATATTTCAGCAGAATCTAAGAAGCTTTGTGTAGAAGGGCTCCAGGGCGGGGCCAGTGAGTAAGCAATCCCATTGGTCCACGGGTGAGCTGACCCTGGACACTGTGCTTAGATGTCGGGAAGGGAACAAGAGGCTCCCATGGCAGTGTGGCAGCAACTCAGGCCTCTGTGTGCTCCTCAGAGGGCCCGAGTTCCCTGCATCCTCCAACCACAGAAATTTAGGAGTCACCTGTCTTCAAGCTGGAAAAGGTCATTTAGCTCTTGAAGGCATTTGTGGCCAGAGAGATCTTCAAGAAAAGACTCATGCCCTAGCCAGTTTAGTTCAGTGGATAGAACATAGGCCTGCAGACTGAAGGGTCCTGAGGTCGATTCTGGTCAAGAGGACATGCCCAGGTTGTGGGCTCCATCCCCAGTAGGGGGCATGCAGGAGGCAGCTGATCAATGAATCTCTCTCATCATTGATGTTTCTATCTCTCTCTCCTTCTCCCTTCCTCTCTGAAATCAATAAAAAAAAAAAAACTATTTAGAAAAGACTCATTTAGTTGGTCATCATGGCGGTAAGCAGAATCAGAATTAACGTGATTATGAAGCATCCTTCTCATCTTATGAAGCAACAGGGAAACTCCAGAGGGGATCTGCAATGTACATAGGTTCCCTTGACCCAATTATTTATAAAAATTCATTGTGGACCTTTCATGTGCTTTATCTGTGTGCTTCAAGACCATTTTTGCTTGGGTGAAGAACAATACCCAAGTTGGTATCAGACACACATGTTAACTACAAAAGTCCCCCCTAATGCTTGTACATTTTGTCACTGTCCCTGCCCCAGATGCCTGGGAGAGAAATACCTGTGCCTGGATGGACACCCTCCCTATAAACTTTCTCAAAGGCTCTGGGCAGTTCCTGGGTCCCTGCCACGTCCGGGCGTAGATGTATAACAGAACTGGTTACCTGGAACTCTTCGGGAATGAGTCACCTCGTCATTAGCTCAGATTTCCACGAGGAACTTTTCCCTCTTAAACTTCTTATGTCTATTGTTGTATTATATAACTTTGTTTCTTCTTAAACAGAAAACAAAGAAGCTAAGATCTTTCTAGCACTGGCCATACAACTGGGTTTTTTGTAAAAAGTTCCTGATGTTGAACTGTGTTTTGCAGGATTCTTTCAATGTGGCATAAAGCAACCGCCCTGCCTGGCTACAGGGCAGGGTAATGGACAGCTCTTTTCACAGCTGGTTGATGACTCAGCGATGGAGCAGCCTTCTCTTATGTTCTGGCCTCCTGAATGGCTTCTGCTACCCTGTCCCTGTCACCATCCTGGCGTTGTCATTTCTCCTCTTGCACAATGGCCTGCTGTTTCTCCCTTGTCGGTTGTAGGACTTATTCCGCTAATTTAATTTTTATGGTGTTTCTCAAACTTTGAAGTGCATAAAAAATCATCTGGAGACCTTGTCATAAACGCAAATTCCTGGAACCCCCTTTGGAGAGTTTAACTGAAATGACCTAGAAAGGAACGTTGGAACCTGAGGCTTCTTTGGTGTTGGGGAAGATTGCTTACAAACCACAACTGGGGTGGGAGGGAGGCGCAGTGTCCTCCTTGGGTTCTAGTGCTTTAAGGAAGGCTGATACCTGCAGAGTATACAGCACGTAGGAAGGTGATGCCCTGCATCCCGCAGTTTCTCCCAAGCTCCCTTATCACTTGTTTTTAAAGGCATTCCAGACCAAAGCTGCAGCGGATACCAGCACTACCGTGAGGAGAGGGAGACTGGGGGTCTCCATGGCGCTTACATGGTGGGTTCATTCCTCACATTAGTTTTTGATAATCTGGTAAACATTCCAACCCACGTGCGAATCAGTGAGATCACAGGGGAGGAGAGTACGGGTGGGCTGACAGTGAAATCCTCACTCTCCAGTCCGTGTCCTTGGGCGACTAGGAATCGCTGCACCACGGTTGACGTTCCTTTAAAGTGTCTCTCAGGAGTGTCTCACTGACTGAACGAGAGGTGGGCAGAGCTGCGATGTGCCTGGTTCTAAAAGGCTCCCGCCCAGTGGTTACTGAGCTGCACACTGTCGCTTGCCCCCTTCCCCCTCCTTCCCCGCACAGCGCCTGGTAAAACTGGCCCATATTTTCACCTGCCACTGCTGGCTCTTGTTCTGCGTATGGAAATCTACTTCTAGCCCTAAGGAACTGCTGTCTTCCCTGCTGTTTCCGGACCCACCCCAAGCTTCTCGCTCGTCTAAGAAAAGGCAGCCTTTAGAGTCCCAACCAGCCACAGTAGGCACTCCTTTCCTTGGCCAAGCAAGTTGACCAAGCACAGAATATGCCCGCATTGTGTCGGAGCACAGCGGGGTGTTCCTTAGTGACCCAGAGCTCAGGCAGGCTCCCTCACCGGCCCCTTCCCGCTCATGCCAAGGGCAGAGGGAAAGCCTGCGGGCTCTGCGAGGTGAACCACAGATAGCAGGGTTTACCTCCACCGATGGCACGGGCGGACACTGTTTGCTGAAACCAACAAAGTTTACGAGGCTACACTTGCCTTTGGACTCAGCCACAGGCCAGGAGCCCAGCTCGGGACACAGAGGTGGCAAGTGAGGCCAGGAGACTGACAGTCCTGGGAAGCCAGGTTGGGTCACTTTTTCTCTTAAGAATGACTTACAGTTTTTTATATTTCAGAGAAATGTTGCCAAGAGAATAGGTCAGGCTGTCAGCTTTGACATGGAGCTGAAACCAGAATCATGACCGTAAACGAAAAGAACAATTTAACTCAATTCTCCCTCTTCCGGAAGCTGTGGGAACCTAGCCTCATAAAATCCCAGGCAGCAAAGACTGTAAACTACACAAGTCACCACCATGTTCTTGGGAATTAAAGAATAAAATAAAATTGGGTGCTGGCCCTCATATCTTGATCAATCATAACACTCTCCCTTTTCCTTTTGTGTCCTTGTTTCTATCAAACAAGACACGACGAGATGTTAAATTAGTCTTCAGTGAAATTTGCTCTAAGAAAAGCCATGGGTATTTTGTTCCCACGCTGTGGGATAGCTATCAAACACAACGCCAAGGGACAAATATTTTCAAAAAGAGAAAGTGACACTAATAATGACTTCTCTCCCCAAACGATGGTCAAGTTCAATGGGTCTAAACACTGAGAATGGAGGAAACACTTGAGTGAGTCAGTATCACCTAGTTCTCAAAACAGAACTTTCCTCAAAGGACTTTGGGTTTAAAGAACATTAACCAATGCAACTTTCACTAAAACTCAATGGGTGTAGTGAAAGGCAATTCTGGTGAATACGAGGGAGGTAATTATTTTCTTCCCTTCACACATCTTTAATTTATCACATAAAATAAATAATAGTAAAGGTATTACAGAAACAAAAAATCAGCCATATATCACCACTCTTTTATCAAGTGTTATAACTGTCCTTGTTCCCCTTAAGTTCAGATACATATTTGGAATCACTGTAAAGAACAAAAGGTATTCTACTTTTTTTTCACTGAACATTATCATAACTAGTTCCCATTTTGCTACAGTTTCTATCATCATAACTTTAGTGACCACATAATATTCCATCAACCTGAACTACCATAATGAATTAGTTATTAGATGTTTATGTTATTTTAATATTAGTTCTTTCGTTTCACTTGTAGCTATACCTAGAAGACAGGAATTGCTTTTTCAAAGGCTTGTCTACAATACCATTTTTCTTTGGGTGTAAAATGATTTAGCTATTTAATGGAAACTGTTAATTTACTAAGGGGAAAATTGTTGATAGGGTTTTGTTTAAATACAGAATTTTGCAAATTGATGAAGTTATAGGCACAGTTCAATCTCCCACCATTAGGTGGGGCTCTACTGCATCAGGCCAATCCCATGTGAGGAAACTAACAAAACTTCTTACAGGTTATCAGCCTTCTTCTAACTTTCTTCCTTCCGTTGCTTTGCCAACACTTTGCCATATCAGCTCATTCTCTTCTTCCCCTTAGTAATTGGTTTCCTCCCTTGAGACATTCCTTTGTACGAAAATCCATTTCCAGGAGGAATTGACGGACTGCCGAATGCACAGTGTCTGTTTTATTTTCAAGGTCAACGCTGTCTGAAGTGATTCTATCTTAAGGCTCTACCAGCCCCGCGGATGGGTGGCAAGTAGACGGATAGCAAGTAGACATTAGCAGGTGGCTCATACCTGTCCTGTCCTCTGCAGGTTTGCAAAGTGAACATCAGGGATGAAGAGGACCGGCTGCGAGTGCAGATCAGGCATCGTTTTGAAATAGGTGATGTCACTCTTCTTTTGTAAAGGTATCGCTGCCAACTTTCCATCAGAGGCTGGATGTGTTAGAAAACCCAAAATTCAGAGGGTTACACATGACTAAGAACTCTCAAATGTAAGCTCTAGTCTTAGCTACATTTCATGACTTTCTCCTACGAAGCTTTCCAAGTGCCAATAATGACCCCCACCCCCTTTCCCACTGCCAAACCAACAGAAGGAGCTCAAACTTCGAGTGAGCACTCCTGGGGTGGACTGCTGTTCCCCTCCTGCCCGCCCCCCCACCCCCCCCCCCCGTCCCTCTATGTGTCCTAGGTTTATTTTTAAAAATTCTTATTGACTTTATTGGGCTGACACAGGTTAATAACATTATATAGGTGTCAAGTGTACAATTGTATAATGCACCACCTGTATATTGTATTGTGTGTTCACCACCCAAAGTCAAGTCTCCTTCCATCACCATTGATCGCCTCTCTACCCTCTTTTAACCCCATCCCCTTTTCCCTCTAGTAATCACCATACTGTTGTCTATGTCTATGAGTTTTTTATTTGTTTGCTTGTTTATTTAATCCCTTTTCCTTTTTCACCCAGCTCCCCATCCCTCTCTGTGTCCTAAGATTTCTTGTCTGTAAACGGAAAGTGTTGGTCTCAATGATATTACAAAGTCCCTCCTAGCGCAAACACTCTGTGATCATTGATTCTATTTGCTTTTCGCAGGGACAATTGACTCTAGGGAAAGCAAGTAATCCCTTGCATGTCTGTAGTTTCGCCCGCAGCCCACTTCTTTCCACCTGCTCCCTAGTGGGCCCAGGGGAGTCCATCCCTTTTCAGTGACACTCACAATTGTTGCACTGGGTTTGGGAGGCCTGGCCTTTCCCCTTCTTCCTGTTCTGCTTCCTCTCTTCGTCTCGGATTTTTCTTTCTGCTCCCTGAGAGGGGAAGACAAATACAGACAATGCCAGGGATGTTATCACAGCACACAAAAACACATCTATCATGATACTGCATGCAAATCATAGGGACAAGAGACAAAACAAGGGAAGAATGAGAGCAAGCAGTCCCGTTTCCATCCCTCCAGTGAAGTCAGGCTCAGTTCTGAAGGCTGAGGGATCTCACTTCCCCTAGATTTTTCTCTTTTTTGGTATCTTGACTATCTACACAACTTCAGCTTTGAATCCCTACAGAAAGACCAGACCCTGTTCCCTGTCCCAGTGAAGTCACGTAAATAACTTACTAATTATAATAAATGTCCTAAGATGAAGCCTTGGCCCATTACCTTCATTCCTAGACACAGAGAGGGCATTAAAGTTATTGTGAGCTCCCTATAAAATTTTTCCTTTGCTTGCTGTGGTCATACAGCAATGGAAATGTGTGTGATTATGCTTTTTAAAATCATACAGTAATGGAAATGGGGGAGGGCATAAGGAAACTTGACAGGCTATAAGATTACTTTGTACATACAATACAATTTTATGTTTTTTTTTGATATGTTCGTATGGTCTTGGAGATGGTGCTCATTGAACCAAATAGAAAAAAGTTTGGTCTAGCCCTGGCTGGTATGGCTCAGTTGATTGGAGCATCATCCCATACACCAAAAGGTGGTAGGTTCAATTCCTGGTCAGGTTGCAGGTTCGATCCCCCGTCTGGACAACCAATGTTTCTCACATCGATCTTTTTCTTCCTTCTTTCCTTCCTTCCTTCCTTCCTTCCTTCCTTCCTTCCTTCCTTCCTTCCTTCCTTCCTTTCTCTCTCTCTCTCTCTCTCTCTCTCTCTCTCTCTCTCTCTCTCTCTCTCTCTCTCTCTCATTTTTTTAAAGTTTGGTTTATTCTCTTCCTTTTGCTCCTCTGTTCCTTGTAACCTGATTTTTTCATTGGTGTCTCTTCCAAATCACCTTTTATCTCTTTCCTTTTGGCTTTTGAGGATTCCCTGATCATCCTCTCATCTCTTTCAATTTTCTATGTCAGCTTTACTAACTCAGTTTCCACTTCTCAACCCGAAATACCAATGTTTCAAAAGTTTCCTTTTCCTTTCTCTCTCTTCATTTTTGATGCAGAAGAATTCGTCTGCACTCATGTTTTCATGATACTCTAAACAGGTGAAAACCAGATAGACATCCTCATACTACATTTCAGTTTCGCATTTACAGTCCCTCCCCTGTGTGGCAGCATATTCAAGGAGCACTGAAGCGTGAACTGGCCAGCATCCTCTAACCTTTTAGAAACTGACCCCCAAATCACCACACACAAAAGACAGATTTGGTAGTGTTAAAATTATCCTACTATTATGCAAAAATAAATTATTTCAAAGCCAAGGGACAGATTGGTGAAAATACTTGCAATATAAAGTGTTGAATCCTTAATCTACAATGATTCAAGTACAAAAAGTGATGTCTGTGCATTTAACAGTTAATTAACTTTATAATATTCTGAAAATATTATGTTATCTAAACATCAAAACTCTACAAAACCTTGATATATCTTGAAGAGACCTCCTAAGCAAATATTTCTATATTTTTAGTCTCCTCTTGCTATAAATTTCTGTGGTTTATGTATATCAATGACAACTCAAAACTTAAAAGTAAAGCACTGTAAAATAATTATATTTTTATAAGAATGAATAGTAAGTTTTTTTTAACATAAAATGCATATTTAAAATATCTGGTTAAAATATTATAACTTTTAAATTTTAAATCTTATGTACATAAAACTCTCAGAACTCACGTGGCATAGAATAAGTGCCATGTAAGCATTAGCCCCAAAGCTACTCCTTTATACCCTCATTGACCACAAATTCCAATTGTGTCATGGCCTTACTTTGGCCAGAATTGGGAATCTGCTTTTTTAAAAGCCAATGTGATCAGCAAAAAAATACATCTCCTTGTTTTCATTCAAACCATTTGTGTGTTTTTTTATGATTGCCTATGTCATGACCCTCGTCCATTTTTTCCTTGGTATGTTAGGGGGTTCTTCTCATCGACACAACCATTTCTATTACTTCACTGGCCTCTGTGTCATGGAGGCAACTCACTGTCCCTGGGAGTGACGGCTGGATGATGGGCACTCACCAAAATCGTCACAACCTGAAAGGCTATTAGATATTTTAGATATTGCCACTAGATTTTTTATATTTACCACTGTGCTGCCTGCCCACAAACCCAGTGCAGTTCTAGTTCATGTATTTCTTCCTCTCTTCTTGTGACTATCTCCACTCTCTGCTCCCAGAAACCCACTTCTCCGTACACTCTATCACTGGTAAACCAGGACTTTCAGACATTTTAATGGCACGGTAGACCTCAGATGCCCCACCTCACTCTCCAGCGAGTACCTTGGGTCACTTCTGTAGGTGTCCTGGTCTTTGACAATCAAGTGGCCCCTTTGCTTTCCCTGTGGATGCTGATATCACACAAGTCTTGAAATTGTTCATGCCACTCATATTTGGGATGTGTACAGACCTCTTGTCACATAACCATGGGATTTTAATCTTAGCTATTCTAATTGCTTTGTCTCTTATGGGATTCAGGGAGATTCAAAAACAATGTCTCCTCCTGAGTGCATGTTTACTAATGAACTTATTTTATAGAAGCCATCTCTGTTCCAAAAACCTCTAAACAAGATTCCACTAACCCCAAAGAATAACAAAGGTTACATTGATATGTTCTAAGACAGGACCTACATCCACTAAAAACTACTAATCTATGATAAGTGAATCAGACTCAGCACAATAGTGTCAATTAGTCATTAAATGAGTGGTAAAAATGACTGACTAAAAATAGAGTTGGTTGATGACTCCCTAGATATCTAATAGGAATTGAGAATGAAAGATTACCACTCCCACTATGATTGATAAGGTGATTATTCTGACACCACTAGACAAGAAAAGGTGACAAGGGAAAAATGTCATTAAAAGTAATATCTAATAACAAAGATACCTTTATGACAAACTGTCATCTTTACTCACTTTGTCGCAGAAGACCTTGATCTGGCAATAAGCTCTATGAATGGGTTTATTACTACGATTATTATAACTGTATGTATCAATCTGAATCATCAAAGGAAGTCCTTTCACCCCTTTTTGGGAAGAGAAATCTGTACTCAGGCAATTCACAGTGATGAAGATCTAAGGGAGGAAGAAAGAAAAAATAAGTTCATAAATCACCATAAGAAAGGTCTATTAAAAAATACGTAAGTCTTAGACTGGAAATCAAAATACTAAATGCATATATAAGGATAACTGAAGAATAGTTGGATAGTATGACATAAGAACAGGTTGAGCATATAAAACATGATAGAGTGCATAATTTATAAATATATAAAAGTTTTTGCTTTCATATTTGATATAAAACAGACCATTAAAATTACTTTCCTTAGAGTATATCAGCAAGATCTTACTTATTTTTCAAACATGCATACATTAGCTGGGTAAAACATTACTTCCTTAACATGTTAAAGCTGTAACTTCTAATAGTTATATCAATTTCTCTAATGTATGATCAATGGAATACAAAAACACACAACCCAAACCCAAACTAGATAACAGCTTCCCTGGAGCATTATTATAATGAAATGTAGTTATTTGTTTACATATCTAGTCTTCCTACTTGACTATTAAGTATAAGATTTGAGACCATTTCTTATCATTTTGGTATTACTGGTACCTAATATAGTACATGGAGGAGAATGGGCAGTCAACAAACATTTGATGAGCTTATCTGTAAAAAGTCCACTAGATTGGGAGTCAACCCCCCAGGTTTTAATCCCAGCTCTAACCAGCTAAGAAACCTCAGGCAAGTCCCTTAATGTCTTTGGTTTTCAATTTTCCTTTTAAATCAGAATGTAAATACTATTATAGAAGAAGTGAAAAGATAAAAGAGGAGCTGGAGAAGGTAAGACACGAAACAGGAAGAAAGAAATGTAGTAAAGGCACCAGCATCTTCAGTTTACAACACAGGGCATCAAGAAACAGAACAGAAATTATATAAATTAAAAAAAAGAAAAGGAAACTCAAGCCGAAACCGGTTTGGCTCAGTGGATAGAGCGTCGGCCTGCGAACCCAAGGGTCCCGGGTTCGATTCCGGTCAAGGGCATGTACCTGGGTTGCGGGCACATCCCCAGTGGGAGATGTGCAGGAGGCAGCTGATCGATGTTTCTCTCTCATCGATGTTTCTAACTCTCTATCTCTCTCCCTTTTTCTCTGTAAAAAATCAATAAAATATATTTTAAAAAAAAGAAACAGAACAGAAATTATATAAATTAAAAAAAAGAAAAGGAAACTCAAGTAAATTCTTAAAGAGTACAGTACTGACCAACAGAAGAACTAAAAATATAACTTTATTATAAAATACTGGGAGCAATAGAGGGAGGAGTGTAGGTAGATGTCAATACATGTCATTTAAAGTTGATTTATCATAGAATAGAGGTATGAGTACAGTACCTAGATTTATGTGGTAACTATATAAATAGTAAGAGTTGTCTCTGGGAAAAACTGGGTATGCGTATTATATACTCTTGGTACTGTTTTTCCTTTAATACCACATGTATTATTTTTACTTAACATAAAACTTTAAATCACTCATTGTTTTAAAGTTATACATTTCTTTATTCTGAGAGCCATTTCATCAAATGTATTATCTGACCCAAACTGCATTTTAAATGCCATTCAAATTTTTGATTTAACTACCAGGTCTGATGTAATTAATTTCAAGTTCAATGCCTGTAGGCTTTTGGAAACTTATACAACCAGATATCTAATTTTTAGTGCTATGTCTACGTAAGGATCATTTTTCATTTTATTTTTAAGCTCCTTACTTGGCAATAAGAAACACACTAGCGAGGCACCACACACCAATAGCAGGCAAGGCCAGGTGACAGGTCTTAATAACATGCTAATTACAACAACCTTGTGCCTTGTGCCACAGGCTCTCACTCTTCTAGCCAACATCTGAAAACAAGTGCCTAGAGATGACTTAACCATTCATTTCATTTCATTCATTCCTGTTATTGGTTCACTCATTCATTTATCCTATAAACATCAACACACACCCACAGTGGGTCAAACACAATGTTAGACACTGCGGATAGAGAAGGAATCCAGACCCCTGCCTCACGGAGCTGACAGTCCAAAGGGAAAACAGGTGAGGAATCCAGCTATGACCACAAAGGGTGGTCAAGGCACTCCAAAGAGAGACGTATACAGAGACTCTGAGAACACAGGACAGAACGCTGACCCCGAGGACACGAGTAAAATACAAAACCCACACAGCACTGGGATAAGACCAGGAATTCCACAAATGCTTGTTTATTTGGGAATGGTAGAGAAAACCAGTGATTAAGAATGCAGATGCCAAGTGATTCAGGGGACTGAGTGATAAAGACTACTAAGAAGAGTATGTATGCCATGCCTGATTCTCCTATTGAACGTCCCTGGCGAAAGTAGACAGAAACGTCTTTCTATTGCTCCTGGAGATGCCTTAACTGCAGAAGAACATTCATTCATGGCACAAAATTATTTTTAAATACCTACCATGTCCCTGAGGCTGTGCAAAGTACTAGCATAAATGCACTGATTATGACCCGGGCAAACAGAGAAGTCAGAGGCTAGATGGAGAGAGGGATGATGGTGCTCCAGAGATTATAACTTCATCACATGCTGATCTTTAGGTCAAAAAATAAAAGCATACTTTCCTAGGAACACTTGCCTTTGTAAAACTATTATTACTGGCAATGGGATTACCTTGGCCCGAATGTGTAAACATAACTTTATGTCAGCAAATCAAATGATCACTCTAGTGAACAATGCAGTTGTCCTTAATTTTGACCACGTATTTCATATACAAATCCCCCAGCTGGTGTTGTAATCTACTGGGGCCTCGAACCACACTGGCTATTGTTCCACTCCTCAGAAAGCCCGCCTTGTAGTGCAGAAGCCAGAGGAGAAAGGTGTTCTGATGAATATTTCCTAAGCTATTCGGACTCACGGTTGGCTCACTGATTTATCCATATATCACTCAACAGGCAGGAAACACTATTCATTGTGGCCTTGTCAGCTCCACCTCTCAACTGAGAGAGCTGGGCTGATGGAATGTGTATACTTACAAAGGCCTCTTCGGCAGGACGGAGCCGCTGAAATAACAGATGCTTACTGGCAACACACTACAACAAATAGACTAAATCCTTCTTGGAGGAGCAATAACAATCAGCCACCCAGTAGAGAAGGTCTTTAAAGGTCAAATGAGCTATCATACACTAGACTTTACCGGGAGACACTTAGACTGGGTCCTCTTAATAGCGAGAGGTCCTGAGTAGAAGGTCCAATGGGCTTGCTTTGACTCATGCCATCCTGATTCTATAAAAAGTAAACAACACAAGAATCGGTCTCCTTTGCTAAATGGTGTGGGCCTCCCAGAGCCATCCTTAGAGGCAGGAATATATAACAGGATTGGCACCGTTTTCCTCTTGCCTGGCTGCCTGACCCAATAGCAAAGCAGTTTCAGTACCCGATGGTATCAATCGTAGTCTCGCTGTGGTGCACTCAAAACCCAAATAGTTGAACTTTAACTGCAGTTGGGGCAGGGGGTGGGGGTGGGAAGGCACGGCAGCACATTAACTAAAACCTTGGCTGGGGAACTGATAAGCATTCATTTGTTTCATCTTGCAAACCCAACCATGTCCCAGCTCCAGGCACAGCAGGCAAATGTGAGATCAAATTTCTTGGAAGTTTATCTACAAAGCACTGTTTGTAAATGTGTATTACAGAAACTTAGCGAAAGGTATGCTTTCCCCCACCAGATGTTCATCCAAATGCCAAGCACGGAAAATTCTGTTTAGCTTCATAGGAGCCCTGATTATGTAAAGAGCATATAAATGCCATGAACAATTGGTCTGTCACCCGAGAGTTATGAATGTTATGTATGTTCCTACGATATTTTCAAAACCTCCGTTATTTGTTCTCCTATAATTCTGACAGTACATAGTTTTTAGAAAAATATTCATGAAAACAGGTGTATGCGAGCAGATAACAGATGCAATTTTAATTTTGTCACTGGATCAAGGATTGAGTCAGGTAGAAAAATTGTTTCAAGATGTACCAAGACCTTTCCAGAAATAGGGGCAGTCTCATGACAATTGACATTTTAAAAATAAAATCGTTTTTTACACGTGAATTACAATTCCCATTTGGTGGCTTCTACACAAGATCAGTGTCTTTGCCCAGGTTATAATACCTCTCGGTTGTGCACTACATGTAGTAAGATTTATTAAAATAAACACAGGTCAATGATGAGCTTTAGAATTGCTACATTAAGTTGATTATTAACACCCAAGATTTTTCTGAGAGCTTGCCATTAAAAGAAATGGGCTGATCTTTGATTTACAAAGCAATTTGAAATTTCAAATATCATAACATCCATGAGTTGATGGAAAGTATTTTTCTCTTTAAACAAGTGCATCTTGCATTTTCAAGAAGACCTCTTTGATCAAAGACTATGAAAGCTCTTTATTTCCTAAGGTTGAGACTCTTTTCCAAGAAGTGGCACGTGCATTAGCTCCAAATTACAGGGTCATAAAATCAGCATTTCCACTCTAAAACACAATATATAAACACATCAGTGTGCTCTTGCCAATATCCTTACTCTCTTTTCTCCTTGGTTCTTAGCATTATCAAAGGCCTTCAAGACGGTTTTCTTGCATTTTCAGCATTTTTCTTCTATTTTATACAATTGTATTTGGGTGCAGATGCAATGCCAAATAAGACAGAGAGACAGACTAAAGGTAGATAATGTTAACAAGTGAAATCTCAGTCTTGGGCATTCATTTGTTTCTTCTTGCATTAATTCACCAATTATTTATCAAGGGCCTGACATTATGCTAGGAAGTGGGAACAAGAATGGCAGGCCAGATTAGATCCCCTGCCCTCAGAGAGCTTGCAATTTTGTTGAGGATCTAAGAATCTCCTAGATTCCCTGACGCCTCCATTTATATGGCACTTTTAGGAAATGATTTAAAACCTGATAGTGTATTTCTCTATTTTCTCCTATAGACACTTCAGGAGAAAAGCATACACATACACATACACATGTGGCTTACTCACATAGCCTACCAGCTATCTATATTCTTTTAGTA